TAAGTTGTATTTACAACACTGTTCCAGAACACTTCAACCCAAATATTCAGATGTGTGCAGCACATTTTATGGAGGACTGTTTCCTGATCCTGGGAGAGTAGACTACAATGCCGGCTGTCCTGACTCACAGACTGTAAGTACGTTTTTTATATTTAAAGAATTTGCCACTGATGATTCAAACGCGAGTTTTGGGCAGTGTAGAGTAGCACTTGTTGTTTGTCATTTCTCTGATCACAAATGCAGACATGGTTTTATGTTACGCTCCGGCCTGACAGGGCATCACAGTATGGTAAGGGGCGTAACATTTCCGTCACACGTTTGAGGTATTCGGCCAATCACAACGCACTGGATAGCTGGCCAATCAGAGCACACCTCGCTTTTCAGACCGATGAGCTTTGTAAAAATCGACGCGTTTCAGAAAGGCGGGGCATAGAGGAGAAACAATAATGTACAGTATGTGGAAAATAATGTGTTTTTTGAACCTTAAACCGCATAAACACATTTCATTACACTAAATACACAAAATACACATCATATGACCCCTTTAAGTGAAAACAAACAGCTGAGACAGAAAACACATGTGTAACAGTATATTGGATCCGGGCAGCTCTTAAAGTGACAGCAGTCTAATATTCCTAATATTCGCAGCAGTCTAATATTTGCATCTGTCGTTCATGTTAATCAAACAACAAAAGAGAGAAAATCTCTCACTGCTCTTGACTAAATCCCTTTTGTAACTTTAATAAGAAGAAATGCACAATGAAGAATACAGTGTTTTTATACATCTGATTACTTTATACAGTGTATGTAGCATTTCTTAGGTATTTGTTCTACTGTAGTTTTTTTTTTTAATTTACATTTAGTCATTTAGCAGACACTTTTATACAAAGCGACTTACAAATGAGGACAATGGAAGCAATACATTTTTTGTCCTGTTGCTTGTAATCTTAATCGCTGACTGTTTACTTGTCTTCAGTGAGCTTATTTTATTTTTTATTTTTTTAGTTTTCTGTGATATTGACACTGGTGACAAGAATTATGAAATTTCTATGGTATCAAAAATGTTAATATCATAAAGACGTTATTTAAACCAAAAATAACTATACTGTTACCATGAAGCAAAATTACACATATTGTGATATTAGATTTTGGTCATATCGCCTACCTCTAATATTACCTTTAACTCTAAAACACAACATAACACAACGCGTAATTCAAAATATGTAATTCAAAACACCTGTGAAAAATGGAAATGGAAATTTCCTTCATATTAAAAAAGTACATTAGGCCCTATTTTCACTCACTTTTTTAGAGAGTACGTCAAAAATTTACATTCCTTCACAGAATGATGTCACTATCATAAAGATATATAATAGAAACCTAAATTACAAAGTTTTCAGAAATATTTAAATATATCATACTCATTAAATGCACAAGATTTAAAAGCACATCTTAAGGCTCTTACAAACAAGGCTCTTACAATTAGTACAGTTTAAAGCATTACATAATGTGAATCTTTTCAATTTTCACCACAAAGTTCCAAAAAAAAAAAAAAAAAAAAAAAAAAACCATTAGAGAGGAAGCTCTTCTCATTTGTAAAGTATTTATCTCACTGCAATACCGCAAAATAGGCATCACCACATGGTTATTTCATATATAAAGCTTTTTCGTAAAATGTCCAGCAAGAAGCAAAAACAAACAAAATCTATATTGTGACATAACATCATCCTGATATAAAACAGCTCATCCTGCAATATAATTTTGCTCCCACCTCCCATGCCTAGTATCAAAGGATCATGATATAACAGAGCTAAATGGGAGAATACTATACCTGACCTCTTCTTTATTCATCTGCTGCTTTCTTAATCCTTTGTGCTCATTGTCTGGCCAATGTCAACTGTAGCAGAGCAGATCATTTCCATAGCAACACTGAATTCAGCGCACGAGCGCATGATACAGAACATAATGCAATTCTGCCGTCGCCGTTCCCTGGAGGATTACATAAAACGCGTTTGTCTTTCCGTGACGATTTTATATTCGAAACTCCCTGCAACACGCTTTCCCAAAAAAGCCGGCTAATTTAGGCGATGTAATAAAACCCAGAGAAATCTAGGTCAGCCATGAACAAAACCATAGCTGCTCTATTGATTCAACAAATTAAACTATGACTCCTGTAAAAGGCCTTTGATCAAACCGAGTGGATTAGATTCAATTATGAAGGCCTTCAGTGTGCCATTTGAATATAAATGCAGTGGGATAATAATGTGGATGAGACTGGTCCGAGTGAGGATTCAGCAGGAAGATTACAACTGGGAGCTGGGGATGTATTTCTTTAAAGCGAGAGCCAAAATGTCTCATAGCTAATTGCTATGGAAATACCTTCCTACAATATGAATGAGTCCAAGGCCACGGATCCTTAATCAGCAGACCGGCTATTCCCCCGCGGTGTTTAAAGACACCAGTACAGCGAGAAATCACTGAAGCTCGACTCTGAAAACTTGGCAGGCTGTCATTGCTGCAGACAGTTAATATTTGGAGTGGATGGACATTATGTAGTCGCAGGTTTAAAGCAGGCTGAAACAGTCTTCAGAAATTGGCTAGTCTGAGCTTTGGGGGAAAAGCTTGCAGAGCAAATATTCCCCTTTTTGAAAATGCCCTGCGAGAGAGCTGCGAGTCAAAGTGCTCTAACCTTTAATACACATTATCCGCTGCATTCAAATGAGAAGGCTGACTGACTGCTCGCAAAGGCTGTGACCTTTCAGGTAGACGAATGCGATCCATACTTAAAGTCTTGTCGTCGTGAATGAAGGTGTGACATCATTACCAAAGGGTGAGAGATCTCAAGCAAAAGTAGCCTACTAGTACTGCTCTATTTTCCATTTCACCTATTAACGTCCAATTCAGTTACTGTAGCCCGCCTGGCATTCACAGGTACGCTGTCAAAAGTTACCTTAAGGTCAAAGTAAAACCAAAATGAATTTACGTTCTGAATGCATGTTCTTGGTCTTATTGTGCACAATTATTATTTTAAAGCTGCAGTCCGTAACTTTTGGCGCTCTGGCGGTTAATAAACAGAACTGTGTGTGTCTTGCGGAAGAACATTGTAGCCAGAGCTACTTCTCTCTGTTTATGTCTATGACGAATCATGCATGTACTGGGCTACTCCGCAGCGATTCCACCAGTACCAGTCAGAAATAGTCAGAATATAAAAACTTATTGTAGATGTACATACCGTAGTGATTCAGGATAAGCCAAAAACATGGTTTGGAAAATGGATTCATGATGTACTCGCTTATTATATTAATTTTGTAAATTTTGAACACAAAAAATGTTACGGACTGCAGCTTTAAATAGTTAAGTATGCAAAAAGGGCTTCAAATGTGGTAAGAGGAGGCACTCCGACAACGGTGACTAACGTTGCGTAAACACTGGTAAATCTTAGGAATAAATCTTAGCAGAACATCCTTTTGATGGTATCAGCATTACAATTAAAAAAATATGTTTTTATTTTAGATTTTTTGTATTTAGCGAAAATTACACATTGAGTCACCAGTAATGTTATGCTAACTTTTAAATAACTTAAAAAATAAATAAAATAAAAAAATCTGTCTTCTCTCAACCAAGATGTATGGCTTGGAAAAACATTTTAGAACATAAATTTGGGACTTGGAGTTGGAACTTAAATTTAAAATTTAAACATAAATTGGGGACTTGGAGTTTGACAAATGTAATCTTTTTCTCTAAATGTAATAACTTGCACTGCCTCTGAAACGACTTTCATTTTTGAATTAGGCTAAGTTGCAAAGCCCTCTCACTTTTCAGCCCCTCTCCACCTCCACCCTATTCTGACATAAAACTTTTCACAATCTAGTCAATTCCAGATCAAAAATGAAGCCAAGTTTCATGTCTGTGACACTATTGACCCCCAATGGAATCGAAATATGTTTATTTAGTAGATACAACAACATTAGCACAACAAATTGTGAGAGTTTGGGATGGAACCATCTGTTTGGAAACTCATCCAAATATGCATACTTCCCTACTATATACTGTAGTACAATAATGACCTACTACTCCAGTGGACATTTACTATCCCAAGAAGCCACGGGAGAAGCGACACAACTGATGCTGGTAGGTCACATGTCATGTGTCATGTGTCAACATGACGAATGTACAGTAGTATGCCTGGACTACATTTAGACTAGAACATAAATTGTGTCCCAAATGACGCACTATACACTATGTAACTAGGCACTATGTACTCAACTGTGTAGTGGATGGGCTTTATAAGGTAATTTTGTCATTCCTTATTGCAGTCTGAATGCACTACTTACACTATTTAAGCATAAATAGTTTAAAATTTAAAAAAAGCATAGAATAGTGCAAAAGTATGCAAAATCTGAGGAACCTGTACTTTTTTAATGGTTGTGAAGTACTTAATCAAAAGAAGTACCTACTTGAGAGTATGCAATTTCGAATTTTTGCAGTAATGTTTGTTGTCATTTGTAGCACAGAAACTAAAAAAAAAAAAAAAAATCACATTCGATTTAATAAAGAAAATAAGAACAGTCACAATGCTTGCAAATAAATGCAGGAAAGAAGACCAATTGTGATTTAGTATGCAAATACAACGATGACGCCATCACAGCAGCGAACATTAAAAAAAAAAAAAAAAAAAGTAAAAGTGAACGGGAGATTAACAAACTTTAATCTTACGTTTCTTACAAAAGCCTAAACCATAACACTTAGACATTATCCACACAGTTAAGTTGTGTGTAAACAGTATAAGCTGCATTAACTGCAGAAAACAGACACAATGGATAACAAAGTACAGTAGTTCGATTAGTCATACTGTACATGTAGCCTACAGTAAATATACAGTATGACTGCGATATAAAGTGTAACTCGCTGTCAAGTGTAAACAGTGAAAACACTGATCACCTCACTATACTGTACATGCATCACATCAAAGCACAGAGGCTTGGAAATGAATCACTTACTTTTCGGGTCTGGGCTTCGGTTTCTTCCGATTCTCCTCAGCTGCTTCCCTTATGGATAGAGCGCGATGCAGAGCAATAATAATCCACGCGTGGAATAGACCCTCCCTCCCTCCCTCTGCCTCTGTGTGTCTGTCAGCCGCCCCGCATCAGCAGCAGCAGTTCAGGCTCCGCCGAAGCCCGCTCAGCGTCTCAGCATCTCTGCTGCTCTCTCCCTCTCTCGTTCCCTCATATGGGTCATACATGAAATATTCAACGCAGCCCTTCATCATATTCGTCATTCTGACATTCATTTCAGAAATGCTCAAGGGGACTCCAGTGCGTCTGATAACCTACATACTTTAAGTCCATCTCATTGTAACATCTGCACAAATGACGCTCCCTGTGAGGAAATGAAAAGTTGCAGGAGTCGTTTCTCTTAGGGTTTGTGTTGTTGTTGATCTTTATCCCCTTAAAGGGTTAGTTCACCCAAAAATGAAAATTAGCCCATAAAATGCATCAGTCCAAAATAAGTGAAATAAAAAGCGCCGATCCATAATAAAAAGTGTCTCACACGGCTCCGGGGGGTGAACAAAGGCCTCCTGTAGCGAATTGATGCGTTTCTGTAAGAAAAATAACCATATTTAAAACGTAATTGTCAATTTAGTGTCAATCTAGATCACTGTTGTACACGGAAGCAGCTCTGGGAGGATGACGTAAGATGTCGTTACGTCGCCCATGCATGCGCCGGTGAGTCTCGTGAAAACCAACGTTTGTTTACAGGAGCAAAGTAAGCAAAGTTTCCTTACTTTAGCAAAGGAAAACCAGTCTCCTCTTGGCTTATATCGAAATCCTCTGACATTCTTCTTTACAAATCCTCGTTTTGTACTTCTAATTAGTGACTGTTGTTTTGTTTTGATCTCTCCGCTGCGCTTCCGCGTTCGTCACTTCTGAGCGGCGCATGCGCAAAGCCGACCTCCATACGTCATCCTCCTGGAACTGCTTCCGTTTACAACAGTGAACGCAAGCTAGATTAAATTGATTATTACGTTTTGAATATGGATATTATTCTTACAAAAATGCATCAATTCGCTACAGGAGGCCTTTGTTCACCCCCCGGAGCCGTGTGAGACACTTTTTATTATGGATGGGCGCTTTTTATTTCACTTCTTTTGGACTGATGCACTGCAACACTGCAATGACTGCCATTAAACAGCTTGAAAGATCAAAGACAATTTTTAATATAAGTTCGACTGGATTCGTCTGAAAGAAGAAAGTCATATACACCTAGGATGCCTTGAGGGTGAGTAATTTATGGGCTAATTTTCATTTTTGGGTGAACTAACCCTTTAAGTAATATACTGTATATAATGAAAAAATATAATTATATTAATGATTATTTTTTATTTTAAACAATTTTAAATTCTAAAAATTCTAATTATAAAAATAGCACAAATTTTGTGCCTAAGATAAAATGTTTAAGGTTAATTCATTTGGACTAATTTTTAATTATGCCTTCTAAACATAGAATACATTAGAATTGATTAGATATTTTCCAATTCAGTATTGCCTTAATTGGATTAAATTAATTTAGTTTAATTTAGTTAACACTATACAAAATATCTACCACATTGTTACATTGTTTTCATGTAACTTTATAAATTATATGTGTGTGAGAGTGTGTGTGATTATATAATAAAAAAATTAATACAATTTAAATTTCGAACATGTATATACTAGGTTTAAACACTGAAAATTATTATCATTAAATATTTCTAGAAATAGCAGCGTCTGATAAAATGTTTAAGATGAATTCATATCAAAACTTAACCTTTTTTCATTTATAAACTTACAGCAGAAAAAGTACAGTATGCAGATTCAAATTCAAATCTTGTTTGCTACCTCTGTTCCAATTCCATTTATACATTTAAAAGGCTTTCTCGATTCAGCTCTGAATGGCACACAGCCCTGTCCCCCTCCTCCCTTCTTTAGCCTAGTCTGTAAACATCTTATCTGCAAACACTCCAGAAGGACGTCTTTGTGCAACAATAATTGATCTATATATAGCTCCCCGAGTCCTTCTTTTGAACCAGGCGATGCCAATCACAACATCAAGCTCCAAATTGCCCTAGATTTCCACCGCCGCTCGTCCAGACTTGTGTAGCCATAGCCTGCCAAGTCCACTGGAGACCTGACCCGCTTGTGCTGATAACCTGCGAGAAGTAATTACGGCGAGAAGTCTGACATTAAGGGTGTCTTCGTGATAAAACATGAAAGATGTACACCCACGCGCACAATAAAAGACGTGTTTTATGCTCCACAGTCCACCAAGTGCCGTTAATAATGAATAATGTCAAAAGAAATGCCACTTTTATGTTGCACTGTGCTGTTGTAATAGAAGATGCTGCTTCCCAAGCATGCTGGGATTGAGGACAACGCATTAACTACAATACAGAGAACAGCAGGTAGGGCACGGTTTGGCGTCTGAAACCAAAAAGCAGGAATCCGAAGCTGCGCACGACTCTCATTTGTGAACTAAGTAGGGTATCAAAAGCTTTAAAAGAACCTTTGATCTTGGGATTTCTGTGGGATGCAATTATATTGCTTGAGGTGATGGGGGTCAAATTAGAGACCTTATTAAGTCGTTCTGGACTTGTGACACACACGCAAGGACTTTCAGCAATTTTTCTTAGGATGTTGACAGAGTCTGATGCCTCCAAGGGCATCACAACAACTGCTACTGTTTCCAGCAGCATTTTTACTGATTTTTAAAAAAATGCTAGTATTAACAGCTCTCAATCAGAGCGAAAAACAGCCTAACAGGCTGACAGGTTTACCCACATTATATTTTCAATAGTTTCTTTGATCGCTCTTTTGAAATCTGTTGGCTTTGAAAAAGTCTGCCTTGTTGTTATTTCCTGCTGCAAAACACTGGTTAGCTTCGTAGTTCTTTACCCCTGACAATAACGCATAAAAGACTGCAAACTATGCAGACAGAGTCCCAGATATACTGTGTCTGCTGACTGTGCAGATTGTTAGTTAATATTTTATTTAAAAAAATAAATAAATGAAATATGCTTAATAGTTAATACTTAATAGTTTTATATTTCTCCATTGTTTTTAATTTGACCATCATTTGCAGTGCTTTATGGGATTGTAGTACTTTCCCTCATTTAAGTCTTCAAATCTTTTTGTCTGATTTTCAAATACTTTTTCTTTAAATAAAAGGTTGTAATGTGATTCACCTTGTAGCTGGATGGTTGGCTTATAATGCTTTAATGAAGTCTTCAAAGGAATCTCTATACATAAGGAATTTTTGAAGAATTTTCCTGCTATTTAAAACAGTAGAATAAATAAAATATGAAATGTACACCTTAAAAATGCAAACTAAATCACTTTGGATAAAAGCACCTGCCAGATGCATTGGTGCAATGTAAATGTAATCATATGCCACATTTACATTGCAAAGGTGGCACAGAAGCGCTTCTGAAGTGGCATTTAGTTGTTTAATGCAGCTTAGAGGTGGAATAAATGCATTTACACAGATACAAATACAACTGTATGCTTTGATACTAGGGGCTGAGGTGGGTCAGAACAGGCTTACTTTACTCTGGCTTTTATGTGGCATTAAAAAAACATAATTTGTAAAGTTTAGAAATGTAAGAATTTGAATTTGGAAAGTTAAAGGGGGTTAAATGAAATAATTTTTATTTTTGGGTTCACTGTTCCTTTAAGCAGGACAAGAAACTGGTTAAGCAATACCTTCCCCCTCATTCGTTTTATTTTACTCTTTTCTTTGTTTATAAATAGTAACATAATAAATATAATTTTTATATAATTTAATTTAAATTAAGTTATATTTTTATATTTTGTACATTATTTAATTTATTTATATTTATACATTTGTTTTATTATTTATTTATTACTATTATAATTAAATCGTACATATAACATATTTAACATATTCAATTTTTAAATAGTACATTTGTGATATGTGATTATAGGGGGATAATAACCAGAATAGGGAATCCCCCAGAATTCAAAAGTATCAATTTCTACATTCATTATGTTTTTTAATTTTGCATACTGTCAGAGTATGTACTGCCTTCAATGAACAACATACTCACATTTTTTTAAACTGTCCACAAAACTGTCACTGGTGTTGTACCCTTTCAATGGGTACTAATATGAAAATTTTAGATATGTATCTTTTAGGGGTAAACAAGGTTTTTTTTTTTTTTGTGAATGTACTTCTGGTGTACTTATTAGTTGAATCTGCAATACTTTTAAATCCATTCCAGAGAATTCTGCAGTTTGTCTCCTAAAATATGTGCAGAAAAATGCCTGCAGAGTCTTTCTGGTCCTGATTAACTACATTTAGAAAAGAGATAAAATCATGCATGAAAAATCACCCCAAAACTGGGCATAATAGTCTCCGTAATCCAATCGTACTCTCTTCACATCATACAGTAGATGTTCATATTCGTCCATGGGAAAGATTTCATGCGGAGGATGACAACTGTGAGTTAATTATAAAGATGGTACTTGGTACAGACAAAAAACACATTTTGTGGAATTTGATTGCCAATTTAAAAAATCACAAAAAATTAACATACCACATAATTAGCATGCATGGGATGAAATGCAAACGAGGGGCATGGGGTGAGAAATTTGTAGCGTACTGGTGATCATTTTCTGTCTGCCTCATCCAGACAGTCTCACTGCAGCCTTTTGATAAAAACACCCTGCTAATTTAGCGCTGATTTATGCACTCCTTGGGATGATGAAAGTATTTCAGGCTGCAGAGTCTCAGTGAATTATGAAGCCAAATAACAGAACAGCATAACTGATATAATAAGAATACCGACTAGGGATTGCACTGTCTAGTCTGTGTCGATTTAACGTGGATCACGTGACTTCTGTTTCAGGAAAATTAGCCTGTAGCTCAGTTTAAGCGTTCACATACCAGCCAGAATTGATGCATAATCTTTGGAACTCAATTTCTGCAAAAAAACAAATAAACAAACAACAAAAAAAAAACTCAGAATTGCAACATATAAACTTGCAATTGCATGTCAGAACTGTGAGAAAGAAGTCCTTTA